GGAAATATGTGGTTGCTTTGCCCATGAACATATGATGTATAATGTCACTAAATCTAAATGGATATGTTTTTATAGTCGACACAGTGTTTTCGAAATACCACCAGTATATTTGTCGGGACAGCCAATGGAATTTGTTGACCAATTTACATATCTTGGTCACAAGCTTACTAGTGATTTGAAAGATAACACTGATATGGATCATCAGAAACGTCTATTTTGCATCAGGGCTAATCTTCTATTACGGAAATTTTTAAAATGCAGTTATGAGGTCAAACTTTTATTTAAAACTTTTTGTTACAACTCGTTTTGCTGTCAACTATGGTTCGGAAGTCAAACCTTAATGCTTTGTGTGTATTTTATAATATACTCTGTTTCGCCGCTTTTTTTCATTACCCACATGATTATAATGTAAATCATTTGTTTGTATATAATCATGTCAAGTCTTTTTACGAAATTTATAGAAATCTTGTATTTAAATTTAGAGAACGTATATACACCTTGGATAAGTCTGTTGGTGAGCTTATGTAACTCTGATGTCCGTTGGAAGACTGCCATGTTCCAGCATTGGAATAATATTTGGTACTATCAACAATGCCATACGCACACTTGTTGGCAAACGTAACATTTTTTTTTCTTCATTCATTTCTGTTGACCTATATGTTCATTTATTTACTTATTTTTCATACTAGTTTTATATGGACTTTTAAATGTTCGATAGTCTGAAGATGATAATAATAATATAATCAATTTTCCATACTTCAATGCAGACATTCCATGAAACCTCTCCAAACTACTGTACCAACTTTCCATACTACTTTCCCCCCCCCCCCCAATTTCTATACAATACTGATTTTTTGGCACAAAAAGTTACCCGACAACTTTACATACAACTTAACCAACTTTAAAGTCACTTTATCAACTTTTCTGACCTTTTATACATGTACTTCCATGGAAATTTATCAACTTTCAAAGGCAACTTCACCCAAAAATCCGTTGAATTTGGCTTCCAACTTTTCTTTCCATGCAATTTTATATGCAATTTATTTTTTTGCAACTAATGCAACTAACTTTCCTTGCAACTTTATCCACTTTCCAGCAAAGTTGTCCAGATTTGAATGTTACCAACATTCCAAAATGCGTCAAAATTAGATTCAAATCTGGCTTGTATAATGTTTACAAAACAAACGTTTGTACAGTATGTATGCAGCTTTATTGAAAAATAGATATATACATACATCTTAAATCTAACAAGGAACATCTAATAAACAAAGAAACTGTAAAATTACAACTTTTGGGCATGCTTCACACAGACTTAAAGGGCAGTGGTTGTCGTGCAGTGAATTTCACATTGTACATGTCTATGGGTCCCATATCAACCACTGCCCTTTAATTTTAAATTTGATGTTGTAAAGGTGGGTCATACATTCTATGACCAAATTTGCACATTTACTGGCTTTCAATTTAGCCAACAAAATAAGCAAAGATCAATAAATCTTAGAAAATAGTCTTAAGTGCATGTACAAAGATTATTAGCCAATTTAGACAGATATGGTGACTGGTGGATGGCCACAACTTTGTTGGGAAAAGTTGTAGAAACGCATGTATAAAAAATGGGACTATTCCATTACAATGAATACTTTAGCTTATATTGACAAATCCATCAAAATGTTGATTACTTGCACAGAAATAACCTTTTCAATAGTGATTTATTTTTTATTTAATAATTTAGTATTGCTTCTGATCCCTGATTTTTTTAGTGCATGTACATATACAAACTGAGCAGTTCCCTGCAAGCCATACTTCACAACAACGTCAAGAATCCCATGAAACTTTTTATGAAAACTCCAGTCTGTATTTAAATAATTCTTTCTATTCAATTCATGAAAGTAAATCGACCTGGTTATAGTATAACACCTGTGTTATAAGGTCTACAATGTGGATCTTATAGATATATTTATTAGTATACTGTACAAGGTAAATAATTCAGAATGCTTGTTATATTGCTATAATTATATTTGACTAACTATGTACATATATCCATAATCTACAATTAATTCAAACAGCAATGTAACACACTTTGTATTGGATTGCGCCCTCTAGTGACAAATGTTTTAACTTTAAATGAAGGTTACACTTTGGTACAAAACATGACAGAAAACTAAACAAACTTTGTCTTATACATAACACCAGAAGACAGATATTGACACTAATGTATTAGTTGTATGAATTATTTCCCACCAATATTAATGCACATTTACACAAAGAATGACGATGCATGTTGATAAAGGTTGCAATAAAACATTGAAGACAGTCACAGTTGTAAGCATGCAAACAGAATAGTGCTGAGTGTACTTGTAGGAAGACGAGGCATGGCATGGCATGGCAAAGTACCGGTATGTGTGAATCTTTGTACTGTTCACCCAGCAAGTCAAAGTGTAATGCATTAACATTAGGGTTTAATATATTATATTTACTAAGTATAATACTGAATTCTAATTTTTTTTTTTTTTAACAATCTGCATGTTCATCATACAAGTATTTTATACACATCAATTTTATGAATATCTGAGCTCTTGGGAGAGTATAATCTTTAAGTATGATTTCATCAATGACATTACTGCTAGATTTAGTATGGTAGTACATAGAATCATTGGTTTAAACATATAGTTGCTTAGTGAGTGGGGAAATATATTGTCAAAACCCTGCCAATGTATAATCATATCTAGCCAAGATTGAACAATTAAGTACTGGCAATAATCTAAAAACTTGTTTATAGTGTGCTAATACATACAGAATTGTACTTCCTAACCCTGTAGGTCTTCACATGTACTTTATAGAAGGCAAAATAATAGAATAGATATCAATTGAAGTATATGACCCAAGATTTGTAAAATTATAATCCTGACTGTATCAATATACTATCCGAATACCAAAGTACTTTTCAAATTCATTTATTCTATTCTCTCTATTGCTGCACATGTGTTTAAGAGTTGCTTTTTACATCAAAGTCCATTGACATTTTAGGCAGTAAGACAAGTTTCGGGTTGCTTAGCAATGTACGTGCAAGGGAGGTGGGGAGGGATGTTATTTTATTATACCAACCATAGTTTTGTAATGAACATGTTGATTCTGTATTGTAGGCATCCTCGGTTTACAATCTTTCATAAAATGTACAAAACATGTTTTACATTCATACACTAGTTGGGGAAAAATATAATTATCGGTATATTATATATATTATTATAATTATATTATTTTGGTACTTGTACTTTTGTAAGATATTTCTGGAAGAACATGTACAAGCATGTCAATCAAACTTTTTAAAAACTGAGGCAAACAGGATCATAGATGACTGGTTGTAAATTCACTCCTCCTCCCCAATTGTCTCAAGCACGCTCAGTAACGTGGCAATTAGGAAACTCAGCCGGGAACTTTAAACTCGTCTATTGTCATGTCATTTTCAATTTAATGTGGCAGGACATTTTAATCCATTTAAAATGACATAATAGCGCCCAATGAGTTGAAGACCAAGCTTGATTGAAAAGCAGATAACTTGTATATACAGATGACGGAACATACCAAAAGTATATATCTATAGGATTGTTGTCATCTGTCAACCCTTTTTTGAAGACCCATAATCCATGGGAAATATCATACATAACAACAACAACAAAAAAGTTACTACTTTCTTTTTTTTCATTTCAAGCTTCAGCATCATTCTAAGCTTGAAAATAAACATTCATTGTAGTCATGGTAACACTTTAAAAAGAAAATATTATTTACAATAAGTTTTTTTTATACAGAAAAAATAAGTTTTTAAAATAAATGGTTAATAATGTACCTAACTACATTAAGTTTATATGACAGAATTTAGCAATTAAAATTCTATAATATGAAAATTTTCATAACACATTCAGCAAAATAAAAGAAATCTTCTATGTATTCTGATAACGAAAGTTAAACGAAGAATTTTTGTAATCAAACTAATTAGTAAACGATGCAATTATCATAGAGAACATAACAGAATATTAAAGGTACAATATGGACGAAAAAAATATTTAATAGTTTTGTTTGATACTGCAGCATACTGAATACCAAATAGGATTATAATTTATCATGAACTGAAAACATTGCTTTGAGCAGATCATATGATAGTTGGAATGAAACACTACGGTACTACGCATGTGCAGTTATTGCTACTGTATGTACTAAAACCAACCAAGGCACACAAGTAATAGAAAAGTTAATTCATTCACAAATTCCTTGGGTGGTGCAAAAATGAGGTTTTTAATTTATCATTAATCAGAATCAAATTTATTCAGCATTACATTGTCAAACAATATTGAAAGGTGCATTTTATAATATGTATATTGCATCTTTAAATATTAGTTGTTTTTGTGGATCTGTTGAATAAAAATACAGAAAAAACTTACTTAGTGAGAAAATAGCTTTATTTTCTCCACATATACATGTAGTGTGTGTGATTGGTCATCCCAATCTAATGTGATAACTAGTAAATACTTGAGATAGGATAAAATCAGAATGCATAAATGCTTCTGTATCTCAAACCTCAACGTCATCTTGTCTCTGTAATGTTCTCTATCACATCCTCTTCCCCACTTGTCAAATGATTCACTCTTGAACTTCATTATACTTTATTTTAAAGTATAGTTTGTGTATAACAAAAGTTTGGAGTGAAAATGTTAATTCTTCTCTTTTTAAAGTATGCATTGTTATTCTGTACATTGCACTTAGTTGTAAGTTATTTTCAGAATACACATGAATGGGTAAAAGATGGCAGTACAGATCTAAAAATAAAATGAGGTAGGAAACAGGAGCGCAACTAAACAATATACCAAAAAGACATATTTGAAATGAAGCGCTGCCTAAGTTATTTACAAGTTCAAAGTGAACTTACTATGATAAACAGCCTTGTTGGAATGACAAGGAATTGCCAATGAATGACAATCAATAAAAGGAATTTAATTGTGTCTTGTAATTTAAGAGAACTTGATATCTCCTCTAGCAGCTGTTAGTGTATTCTTCATTAGCATAGCAACTGTCATTGGTCCAACACCACCAGGTACAGGAGTTATGTGACTGGCTTTTTCAGATACGCCTGTCAAAAATAAAGTGAAAACAATTTATCAATCTGGACAAGCGCGAGCGGATGGCCAAAAGAGCTCCACCGTTTCAGCAGAGCAAAGTCATGCAATAATAGTTGTGTTCAGGCTATAACCAGATGACTTTCCACCAAAGAACACAAAAAAAATGTATACACAAAATTCATTCGTGTCTGACTGTCCATGGGCATGAAATTAAGCTCAAACATTAAAGCAATCAGAGTAGAGGTTTTCAAGAAGTCAACAACAGCACTGACCCAAGTGATGAAAATATTGGCTAAAATTGCATAATTGAAGATATCATCAGGAAATATTCAAATCTAATACAGTTGAATCAAAGGTACAAAATGTAAATAAATATATACCATGTATCAAAGCAATTCAGCTGGTAGTTTTTAAGTTGAAGTAGAAAACAACATTTTTTAACAAAAATGACAAAAATATTCATTAAAAATAAATTCCATGCTATTATGAAATAATTTATTTTTGCATGTAGCTTTCCTAACACTCACAATAATGTTTTAATGCCATTTTAAGCTTTTAGGCCATTCTCAAAAATCAAGGCCAGATTCCAGAAATAGCCATTGGATATACAAACTGAATTAACCAATTGTGATGTGTTCAACATTATGTCTCTAGGGGCTAGATAAATGCACTGTCACTATGCCAATGCATGATTGCTTCAACAGCAATCAAACTACTAGTAGCATATTGATACCTGTGTACTACAACTTTTTAAATTAATAATTCATGAAGGATGTTTAAACCACATGAAGATTGTTTATCATGGAAGTCATACTTTAGTATGGGGTTCATGCCATCAAAATAACAAAAAATGAAAAAAAAAATTAAATTGGGGTCACCAGACAATTTTTCTAGATACAAGAGACTGAAATAAAATGTCAAAATTGGCATTCTACCATGGTTTTATTGCGAGGTTATTCCCACAAGTGATCAAACTGCATTCATTACCACAAGCCACAAAAACATAGTTACCTTTAAAATCCACATCTCCTACAAGTTTGTAGGTGCCAGTTTCTTCATCTTGTATCCTATTTATTCCAACATCAATTACAACAGCACCTTCTTTCACCATATCTGCTCTTATTAGACCAGGTATACCTACAGCTACTATTATAATATCTGCTGTCTTTGTAAATACTTTTAGCTGATCCGGGGGTGTGTACCGATGACATATAGTCACAGTGCTGTCAGCACCAATTCCTGAGTCTGAGAAACAACATAACAGCTGGTAAATTACAATTGTCTACAATATAATCAAAATTAAAGAACATTTTGGAGAATTGGCAGTACAATCAACATCTATTGAAGGCGCCATATTTTTCCTGGGATAGATAAAAAGTTTGAATATACATGTAGGTATTTAGGAGAATAATAGTGGACATCAACATTGACAAATGTTAGTACATGAGCTTACATAGTGAACTGCAGACGAAATAATATCTTTGAAACTTAACTAGATTGACTTGAATCACTGTATGTCTTATTATGTTTTGTTTGTAGATTCAAAAATCTTGATGTACATGCATGTCATAATGCCATAATGATAGACTGATTGACATGCAGCCCTGCCATAGCCCCCAAACATACAATTACAATGTATGTGGTTTTGGGCAGGAAAAATGCACTACACTGTATACATCAACACTTGTAATTTGCACTCTAACATAGTAATTCTCAATTAGAATGGTCCATTGCAGGTCTTTATATAATATCCTGTTTCTGAATCTGACTTGTGTTTTCAAGTCACTTTGTTCTCATAGGATTACATGACAAATTTCATTGAGCTAAGAAACCATCAAGGCCGGGTTGAAAGGAAGAGGGGCATGATTCCCCTTTTCCATTACAAATTTTGGATCAGTATCCTCATCAGGCCTTATTATTATATGATGATACCGTAAAGTAAGCACTCAGCAGGTGAAGGATTACATCAAACTTTGCTACGTGTCTGTTCTTTGTCACAAAGAATGCATATAGACAGTACAGAAAGAATATCTACAGACATGCAGGGGGTCAAAGCAAACCTTTTTCTCTGTACAAACTAAATGATGCAGGGAACACAGATCTGAGCAAAATGTTTAAAGTTATCAGAATTTTCTCACCATGAACTTTGTTTTCAAATGTGTTTGTTGTCTTCGATAGTTGAAATTTATATTTCCTAATATACAGATACTTTTAATTAATTCTTTTTATTTATTTATTCATTCATTCATTTACCAAGATCAACAAAATATAAAATTAAAGATCTGGAAGCCCAAACTCTTAAGAGAGGCAACATGAAAGAAAAGAGCCTATCCATGAGTAGAAATCCATTACCCTTTGTGATAAGGATACCCATGGTAAGGCAGGCATTGAGGACAAGAACCAAGAGCTTTTATCGTCTGGCTTCATTTGATCCCAAAATGTGATACAGTGTGTTTGGAAGGTTAGGCAGAATGTACTCTTATATACTGCCGAGTAAGCAGATGGCTGAGTAGATATACAAACCACAGTACCACACATACATGCAGGTTCACCTAGATCTCAGGAGTGAAATGGATGTGGTGTAGTAGAGTACAAGACACTTCATTTTGTGAAAAACATGCCTGTTAAAGGACACATCTGACACTTCTGATGCATTTATCATTTTTATTGAAATTTCCTCAAAGAGATGTACCACTATTAGGTGATATACGTCATACATGTACCTCACATGTGTGCAGTCACTGTGGTTGATTGCACTCAACATGTACAAAATTGAATGAAAATTATGACATTAAGGCGTATAGTCACAATTTCCAAGTGAATTAGTAAAAATCACCTAGCAATCATATTTATAAATTGATGAAAAACAACAATGTACATTTGATGAACATGATTTACAGTTAGTTAATGTAATGGAAGGCCTGGCTGCTTATAATGAGGTAAGCATAAACGTATGGTGCATACTTGACTTTTATAAACCACGACATGCAATAACTCTGTGTGCATGGAAAAGTAGGTTGATATATTGTACTATACTTACTATGATCTCCATCAGTATGTAAAAGCATTGCTATGGGCAATCCAACATTTTTTGATCGTCCACATACAACAGCATTCTTGCCTAATGTGTCTATGCCTGTAAGAAAACAGTACAATCTTGTTTCTATGTTCATTACCCAACTCATAGATCATGGCCTTAGAATGTGTTAATTAACCCAGATGTGTATATCAATAACTGCAAACCAGGAGTATGAATTTAATATTAAATGTAACGCAGTAGTATACTGACCTATTACATTTACATAGATTATTGCTAATATGCCAATTTTAGGTCAAAATATTTTACTAAATATAGAAGTAAATAGGGTTCATTCCAATATTAAATATGCGATGGTGTAACCTATGACATTATAGTATTCTTAAGATATATCCTCAGTACAGTCTGACAGATCTGTCAATGTAAAAATGAAAGGGTTGAGATGTTCCCTGTCTAAAAACAAGTAAAACTGTTTGCTGCATTTTTCTTAGTTTTAGCACAGATTCAATCCATGATTCATCAGTTACGAGGTAAGTCTGTAGGAAGAACGATGAGTTGCTAACACTAAAATAAAATTTATTGTCTAAACTGACTGGTTTAAATTTGACATAAATTTTGCTCCACCACAAAGAATATATTTTACAATATTGTTACGATATTTTAATAGCATACACTATTATTTAATAGTGCACAAATGTGGGAAATATAATTTTATTTGAAAATACTGAATGAATGCAAGAATTTCCCCCAAAATAATGATATTTAAATATTAAATATCTGTGTAGTACCGGTAGTTTAAAAGAAGTTAGGAATACCATTTGTTTATTTGGCTTTTCATCATATAGAACGCAGTATTATGAAAGACATGAAAGCAATAGCAGCACTATGAATTCCTTCTTTTTACCCATCTACAATGTGCGATATTTTATCACATAGGACTAAAGCAACATAGGTGAAGCACACATGTAAATGAAATGAACAAGCATACGTGGGATGACTCCAAACAGCACTTTAATAAATCAGATGTACAGTACAGACAAGTTATTGTAGATTTTATTAAGAGTATTTCTTTTATTTATATTTTGAAGTGTTAAAAAAAAAACCTACCAAATATTCTTCTACTTAGGTCACCAATTAAGTGAATATAAAACCATATTATCAGAAATACAATCACATAATTTTAGCAAAGTTACAACATTTCTTGTTTATACACAGTTTTAAATCTAGATCATTTAAATTTGGTAATAATGTGTGAGAGTATTACTATATAATCTATAATGAAAAGAATTTTAGCTGTCTACTGTGAGGGGATAAAACTGCTCACTGCTCTTGATCATTAAAATATATTTGCTTCATTAGAAGTGCTTATGTACACGTAAGCCAAATTTAATTTTACTGCAATTCTAGTTATTTGTTTACACTGAATTTTTTAATGTTACATGTAAAATAGAGGAAAAAGGAAATTTTAAGTGGATTCATTTTTATTATTACTCCATCCCTACTTTGAAATTAATTTCAAGTGAAAAAGAAGTATACCTTCTGCTCTTTCAAAAGATATATTTATACTGTTTCTTTGCTGCACATGTAACGTATGAACCTTCCATTATTTTCTTTTTTAATTAAGGACTGTTTGTTGATTTTATTATAATATCAGTGTGATAAATTCATTATACCGGTAATAGTTATAGAGCGGTATAGAGAGAGTGTTTAATTAACAGTGTTCAAAACTAAGGTTATACCACAGTACACATATTGAAAGCATATTACCTGCTGACCTTTCAGAATGTGCCATAAATGCTACTACTATACATGTACATTGAATAATATAACAACCCTATAGCCTGCAGGTGAAGCAGTGCACTCTGTAGCCGCGTTTTCATGAGCAAAGGGACAATATTATTGCATATTAGTAAGAGATGATACCGATGTTATTCAATAACAGCTAAGTAATCTGCAGAAAATATATGTAATAAAGATTCTTACCTGCTCGTTTTATTAGTTCCATAATGCCAAATGGAGTCGCTGGCAATAAAGTCTTTTGATCTAAACATAGTCTTCCAACATTCATAACATGGAATCCATCCACATCTTTCTCTGGTCGTACAGAATCACATATTGTTCTTTCATCTATGTGTTTAGGAACTGGTAATTGTACTAAGATACCATCTACACTCACACTGTCATTCAGTGAATGAATTAAATCTAGTAGTTCATGTTGACTTATTGTTGATGGGAGTCTTATGGTCTCTGCACTTATACCTACAAAAACAAATAACACCAATATAAATTAATAGTACCTAAATCACCTCAAGCATGCAATAACAAATTGGGTGAAAACTACTGTTGAATGCTTTATTTTTGTTTGCAATTTATTTTCACAGAAGAAACGACTCAAGGAAAATAAAATTCAGCGAATATACCTTTTTCTATATTTTACTGATCAAAAAAAAAAAAAAAATAAGTGAAAATAAACTTCACACAAAATGCCCAAAATATTGTTTCAGCAAAAATTAATTCCAACACGAATAAAGTGTTTTACAGTACTTTGCATGTCCTCTGTACTTTCAGTCAAAACTGCAGGAATTGCCATTAAAGTTTAAAACCAGTTAAACATGGCAATTAGGAACTGATGCTTATAGTATTAGAATTACCCCCAGAAAGTACCAGGATGTGTGACCCTAGAGGTCACGTATAAGGCCTAATAGAAATCATCATACTGAGACTTGATTGTCGTCCTACAATACATGTATATGCATGTTCTCTTCCAATTATATTAAGCCTTTCATTTCCATTAAAGTTTTTCCTTCACATTATGATTATAGTACTATAGTGAAAGCCACCCATGACCCAAACCATAAATTAGAATATGATTAAACCCCAATATTTTTCAGATAAATTTGATTACATGCACGCACTTTGTGGCTATATTATTACATCTGACTAAACCTATAACTGATCCCCAAAAGCCTGTTTAATGTTCTGCAGCTTCAAATGCAGATTAAACTTCTATATCCAGGGGGGACAGATAATTCTTGTTTCTGCATATCAGTTTAATTTATTATCCAAATGATTGCATGGAAGCTAGTCTTCAAATATTACATACTGCAGGAATGATGGCTGCAGCATATAGGAATTGTTCAAAGATAACTGTTCAAGATAAGTCTTTTAGCAATACATTTTAAAGTTTTTTTTAAAGTTTTTGAGGATAGCATGTTCAGCTAACTGTTCTATCATTTAGAGTTTTCTGCTATTACCGGTACTTGTGCAAATTTGCTCCAAAAAATCTTTATGATAAAACTATTTGGCTGAAAGTGATCTTCAAAATGTCTATCATTCATTTCCATTTCATCTGAGTGTGCAACAAAGTATTTTTCAACTGTAACTGAATTGTTTTTGTCGCAAAAAAAACACACACAGTCCCAGTTAGTTATCGAATTTAAGATATATAGTTTTGTTTTAAGTAATATAGCTGGAACATAAACATGTCAGGAATATGATTATGATGATTGTTTAACATTAAAATGATTGACATTTGTATCTGATCGTCAAACAAGTATTGAGAGATATTGCTCTGGAACAGCATTAATTAAAACAAAATCAGCCATTTTGAATACATGTATAATTTGAACATAATCAGTCAAAGCATGTCAGAGATATGGCACTGGAGCTGCATTCAATATTAAAATGATGTGCATCAGGAACCCATAATGTCTAATGTATGTACCAAGTTTGAACAAAATCCATCCAGAAATGCCAGAAATGCTTGATATTTGATGATTTCTTAGCACAAAAATGGCCACCATTCGGCCATTTTGAATAGGATCATCAAACCAATATATCTGTATATCTATGACATGATTTATAATGAATATTAAAAATTTGAACATAGTCTAAGCAAGTCAGAGACATGGTACTAGAACTACATTCATTAAAACAAAATGGCTGGCAGTCGGCCATTTTGAATCTTACATGTATCTGAAAAACAAAACGATGTGCATCATGGTCCTATAATGTCTAACATATATACAAGGTTTGAACAAAATCCATCTGTAAACAGTCGAGAAATGCTTGGTTTTGATAATTTTTTAGCACAAAAATGGCCACCATTCGGCCATTTTTAATAGGATCGTCAACCAATATATATGTACATCTATGACATGATCTTTAGAGAATATTTAAAATTTGAACATAATCAGTCAAAGCAAGTCAGAGATATGGCACTAGAACCACATTCATTAAAACAAAATGGCCGCCAGTCGGCCATTTTTAATCTTATTAAGGTGCATCAAGGTCCTATAATGTCTAACGTATATACCAATTTTGAACATAATCCATCTGTAAACAGCCGAAAAATGATTTTGATGATGTTTAGCACAAAAATGACAGCCAATCGGCCATCTTGAATCAGATTGTGAAACAAATTGACGTGCATATGTACAATATCATGTATGATGTATGTGTGACGTTTGATTGTGATTGGTCCAGGCATTTCTAAGATACAGGTCCAGACACACGCATGCATGCACGGACACACGGAGGTCAAAACATAAGTCCTCGTTTTCGGACTGCGTCTGAACGGGGACTAAAAAAAACTAGTGAAATTATTAAGCTAAGTTTACTTTTAATTCTTATTAAATAAGAAACAAACTGATCTACATTGCCAATATGATGCATCTTGTGCGCTCCCTAAACCAGACACAATTTATAAAGATTTTGCACACAAGAGATATTCATAAGGTATTAGATCACTGGTGAAATCTAATTAGATTATTACTGTGTATCTAATACCATGTTATAAGTTGATTGTCTTCAGAATTAAGATTTTTCTATTTGGTATGATTGTATAAGAAACTAATTATTTGATCCTGATTGCTAAAATTAATAACATGAATAAAGGGCCAAGCTTAGGAGGGTTTAGATACCTTGATGTAAAAATTAATCAAATAGAAATTAGTATTCATTGGATGTTCCTATATTATTATACATATATACAAGTATTTATTGCATCAGCATAGCAAAACTATGGATAGGCATCCAGATAAGCCTCATATTAGAGGATAATAGATGGTTGGGATGTTTTAATCTTTGTTCACAACTTCACAAGTAAAAGTGGTGGTGGTGGTCGGGTGTGAAGAATTTATTTTTGCAAGAAATAAACCACAACATTACAATTTCATGTCATATTAAAATCTAGAGTGGTATTGACAATACATATTAAATAGAACTGTCATTGGCAAGCAGGTATATATACCTGGGTACTTGTACCACACTCCAACAATTTTAGGAAGTAACAATAATTATGGAAACAGTATTTTTATACTGCATTAGAAGGGCATCTCAAATAGATGCACATAAGAACCACCAAGAAATTACATATATTGTATGCTACATGTAAAATGTAGACTATTGGAGTACATACATCATACTTTGATAGACTCAATCACCTGTACTATTTACACATGTGCATATACTTTAATAGAGCAAATACAGTAATTTCCCAGTATTTCTAGTGATAAATGTAAACATAGTTCTAGCATTCGTGATGACCAGATTAAAATAAATTAGTTGGCAATTACTCAAATTATATAAGGTTATTATAATCAGTGTGACCTCTGAACTGTTTTAATGCGTCACTGATACAATAAAAAAAAATGCTTCATTGTGTAATAAAAAAAGTAATTTCTCTAACAAAATGTTCTCTTGAGGAATGTTGCTATGAAGTCCAGAACGACTGACTCAAATTTCTATTTTATTTTTTTTAAACTCAAACTATTATACAGGTTGTATGTTAGAAGGTACACTGATTATGATGATTGGCAGTGATTCATCTTCCTGGTGCAACATCAGACGATATAAAATAATCGCATTTCAATACTGCAAAATTACAAAGAAAAGGGTCACTAGTATGACCTCACTAAAATTTTATTTTCATTCAATAGAATGTGTTGATGCATCATTTGACTAATTAACAGGTGTATGAGAAAAATATTAACTATGGTTGATAGAATCAGTTGAATAAACGTACATTATGATTCAGGTGAGCAAAATTGTAGCTATAGCTCAAGTTTGAATAATATCATGTCCTTGAACTGTACTATCAGTGTCAAATATCAATAGCCCTCCGTACAGTATTGAAATAAATTTTCTTCAAAAATATAAATTACATGAGTCACTTAAAGCACTGTGGCTGTCGCTCAGCGCATGTTCGAATTTCATGTAAATAAACAATGTATTTTACACGCGTTGTATACGTAGCTACGAGTCCCATATCGAACAGGACGCGGCACAACGACTGCCGCCCTTTAAATTGTTCATACTTAAGCATGATATACTAGGACCAAGTTACGTACTGCTGAATAATATATCTAAAAGGATAAGTTATCAAAACCTGAAATTGCTAACTCATTATTTTTGATTTATCAGTGCTTTCATTTCAAAACAAGAAAACAAGAATATGAACAAAAGAAGAAGCGCAGATTTACAATCAGAGCATATACAAATTCACCAAATCACAGCAATACACGAGATATGGTTCAATTAATTGCAATTCTAAGTTTGTAACTAATTTTCAAATAAAACGAACATGACATAAAATATTATACAGAAAAATGAAAACAGAATAGTGCTGTTGTTTTATCAAAAGAGCTAGACATTACTTTCCGGGTACTAAACGTGGCTTTGCATAAATACTAGCATGAACTTTACAGTGTACTGATTTGTTATTGTGAAAGTAAGTAAATAATGCAGATATAGTGTATAGACAAACATCAAAGAATTTCATTTTATATGAGCTAATGCATTTTGGCAAAGTAAACCTTTGTCACCTTTCATACAAATAAGCCTGCATAAATTTTTCCGCATTTTTCAACAAATTCTATGAAGACTTGTAGGCATTGCGATAATGTGACTAATATGTCTAAAATTAGTAAATACATTATAGAAAATTCCATAACAATGGGTAAAATGTTTTGTTGGAGAATTTATGGACTTGAAAACATTAAGATACAGCTGAAAGATGTTGAAATTAATGAATCAGTATGCAATAGCTTAAGTAATACGCATGAATTTGTAATTACTAATCAGGTAATGTATTTGTCACCCGTATACCTAATGAATTTTTTTTGAGCTTATGGTTTCAGAGTTATTTGAAAACGATATATGTAAAGAAGTTCAAGTACAGTTAGATTCCTTATTTGGAAAGTCTACTTCCTAAAAAGGTAAAGTGCAAAGTACAATAAATGTAAATCACTGCAAGGCATATGGAAACAATTAGTTTATTTAAAAGACTGCAGGGTTATATCTGTCAATGTGAGGTAAATGGTACATGTAGGAGTAATTAATGATAAAAGTATAAAAGTGAAGACTATGGAGCCAAATAAAGACTCCTTTGATGCGTTAATAATATCCTAATTCAATTCAATGTCAGATGGCATTTACCATTTGATCAACAACATCAGTTTAGTGTCAAATTGGGTTTTCCAATTTGTTTCAATAGTAGTGCTTTTTTTCTGTTTAGAGTAAGTTTGTAATTTAAGTTTCCTGGTAGCCTATTACTCTTTCTGATAGATTCAATCAAAAGTTAATCAAATAGTCTCCACATCTTACCCAGGTGTGCCATCCTGTTCTACAATTTCTTGCCAGTATTAATTTATTTCTTTTCAATTTTCCAGCCACGTCATCTCTGTACGATGCATGCTAACAGAGGAGATTGGACAATGTAAATAGCAGGAGAGCAGCACGGAAATAATTATCCACCATGGTACTATTACATTCTCAAATTGGGGTTAAATATGGGAAATAGGGGTGAAGACGTACATGACAAAGGTATACTGTGCATTACAATATCACTGTCAGGAAATTGAATCCTACAATTTAAGAATTCTGGTAGTACCAGTACACACAGATAAAATTGAACATTGAGAACAAAGATTCAAAGATAATTCTATAGGTTTAAATAGGATAAATGTTTAATGATTCACTAATACCACAAGATCCATCATTCATTTTCAAGTTGATGACATTTCAAGTTTGGTTAATTTGTTTTCAGCTTTCCTAATGATATACATTACAGCCAATCTAATTCAGGTGAACTTTGTAGTTGAATTGACCAATCTATATGTAGATAATTACACAACAAACAAGACATAAATGCCATGAATAATTAAACAAGCAGCCTCTCGGCTGAGATAGCCCGCTGTTAGCAGTGCACATTTCAAATAGAGAATTAAAGATATCACAAAATAAAACAAGCAGCCTATCGGCTGAGATACAAATGTAGCTCCGCTGTTAGCAATGCACATTTCAATTAAAAAACTGAAGACATCATTAGAAAATGAACAATATGTATAGTATCAAAGCAATCGGACTTGCAGTTTTTAACAAGAAGTCGAAAATATCACTTTCTACCAAAAATGACAAAAATATTCACCAAAATTAGAGAATTGAAGATATCATCACGAAATGAACAAATCTGAGAAAGGTCTATATGTAGTATCTATATATTTAATATCAAAGCAAATGAACTTTTGGTTTTTAACAAGAAGTCGAAAATATCACTTTTTACCAAAAATTACAAAAATATTCACCAAAATTAGAGAATTGAAGATATCATCACAAAATGAACAAATCTGAGAGAGGTCCGCATGTAGTACCTATATATGTAGTATCAAAGCAATTGGACTCGCGGTTTTTAACAAGAAGTCGAAAATATCACTTTTTACCAAAAATGACAAAAATATTCACCAAAATTAGAGAATTGAAGATATCAACATGAAATGAACAAACCTAAGAGAGGTCTACCCAAGGTACATATACACCAGTATCAAAGCATTCAGCTTGTAGTTTTCAGAGATGTCGAAAAAGTAAAACAT